AGTCTCGAGGTTGTTCTGGCGAATTCTTGCGATGACCCAATCAGGCGCTATCGGCGACATGTTGGATCGGGCGGGTAGCTCGGTCGGTCGTCGTCATCAAGCGTCGGGGGATCCGGGGCAAAGTCCATCGAAAAAAAGCGTAGTGTCGAAAGAGAAAAAGCATCACAACTTACAGCTTGCAGAGCCTGCGTCCTCGCGTTACCGCCGGCTCCTCCTTGCTGTTGCGCGCCATGCGCGGCGCCTGCGGCCTGGCCGCTGGGGATGTAAGGGTCGTAGGGGGCGTCTTCGGGCATCGTCGCTGTGGTGACGGAGACGGATGGAGGAAGGTTGTGAAGCTGGGTCGACGCGGCGAGCGGGTCGATTGAAGAGTTGTTTCGGACGGGCGAGATGGAGATTTAGAATTCGATAATTTGTTGCTCGAAGCAGATGAAGATCGGTCGCGGTGGTCTTGGTAGGCGGTTGCAGGTGTGGAAGTGTGGTTGGAAAATAAAAGAGGAGAAAGGTTGGGTGGTTGGAGGGTGATGAGGTGGTTAAGTTCAGGTGATGAGACGTCTTGGAAAAGAGGCGAGAGCCCAGCCGAAACAAGGTGTCCGTCTGAGGATTTGGGGGGGACGTGGATGCGCTGCGCAGCGCTTGCCTGAGGTGCTGGGTGCTGGGACCGAAGGAGGGAAGCTGCTGGCAAGCCAGCTGGGCCACTAATTTTAGTTGAGCTGGGAACGCCCAGCCACTGGAAGAACCTGGCGGGTTCAAAGGGTGATTGCGATGTTCGCTATCCTTTTTTTCTTCTCTTCTTCGTGTTCTTCTCCCTTTTCCTCTCTTTCTTTTGCGACTGAATATCCCGGACTAGTTGTCTCCGATCCAGACAGTCCACGGATGTCTGTCTATACATCTACGGATACATGCATCTATCCCATGTCGTTTTCTTCATCGAATGTTCTTCTGGACAAGTAATGCAGTGTCGGAGCACGGGGCGAAACAGAAACCACCTCACACCTCAACAGCGCGGCAGCTTCAGCACGGCCACCGGTCTCCAACACGACGGAACTGGGGGATGGCGCTGGAGCAGCACTCGAGGACCAATCATGCACGATGTTTCGAGCAATCCAGAGACTGAAAGACGGGCAGTGAGATACGTACTCCGTAATGCTCCCTGCGGTGCCTGGGGAACCCGGGAAAAAGTGGAAAACACCAAGTCGTGAACGCAGTGGCTCGTCGTCTTTAACTCAAAACTCTGCTCGACTTTCCATAAACATGACAAAGGCCCTCGAAGGGTTGTTCCCTGGAAACACCAGAATCTGGAAGTGTCTCCGGGCCAGCACAGCCATTCCCTCTCGTCATGTCTGCAACACAAGTCGCTGGGCGACACTCTCGAATCAGAGGTCACGCTCCCTCATGCCAGGGACCATTTCCATGGTTACCTTGACTTCCCTGCTTACGGAGTCTTGCGGATACGAACAATACTGGATGATCGGACCCTGTTCTTTGCTGGCCGCTCTCTACTCAGCGCTGATTCCTACACCTTCATTACCCTGCCATCGCCTCCCTTTTGCCTCAGTCGTGTGCCTCGCTGGCTGCGTACTCTTCCGGGCTGAGATGGCTGGGCAGCCCGTGTAATGCTGTGCAGGAAGGCGCTTTACCCAGCCAATGCCGTGAATTCGCGGCTTCTGATGTAATCTTCGAGGCGGTGCCGCAGGCTCCAGGTCCTCCGTCATTTCTGGTACCTCATTCTGGACCCAGACGGAGCTGAATTGGCCCGGAGACTTGGCGTTCTCCGTCGGGAGGCACGTGAAAGACAAACACGTGATGCCTTGAGACGGGACGGGGGTTGCTGAGTCAGACAGCAAGGACCGAAGTTTACCCGCCTCTGTGGCTCAGCTTCGACCGCGCACGGATCACATAAAAATTCGGTGGCTCAACTCCGAGATCTTCATCCACCCGGCCCACTGGCAGCTTCTCCCAGCTTTGACCTTCCAATTCCATCCATCAACATTGACCAGTTAATCGTCAGAGTCGAGAATGGGCAATTTTCAAGTGTTCTCCTGATGAACAGATGCCCTCAGCCACAAGTTTGACGTCTGGTCAGCCCGCAGCGCCATTCGGAAACCGATGAACCGCCGTTTACGGGACGACTGCAGACCACGGCCCAGGACGATGAAACGTGAGCCGTTGTTGAACCAAACATCAACGTCGATACTACACCCTCGTTGGATTTGGCAATGTTTCTTGTCGCAAAGTCCGCACTCGTCTCCCGCAGCTAGCATCAGGAGCGGCGACGACCTCGCCGGTCCTGAAATTCGCAAACACCGTCGGTCAAATCGCCATGTTATTCCCGCATGCCGTACTCAATTCGCCCTTTTGAAAATGGTGCTCTGCAAGCGCTAAACAACTTTGCAACGCTCTTCATTCCCCCGAGCTGTAACAACTCGGTTTCATCGGCTTCCTGGTCAAACGCCGTTGGACGATGATATGCCTAATCCCAACCGTTTACAGAAGCAAAAGAGGTCGATCAGGGCAACTCTTTTTTGAAGTCACGCCGAGGAATGAATCCATCTGAGAACAAATTGCGCCTCCCGTCGACAGCAATGTCGGGAGATGAAGTTCAATGCCAGAGATCCAGGCGATCACAAAACGGCCCCGTTTTCGAGGAACCCGCTGGCATGTTGTTGTTTTGTTGCCTAGGCAGACCGAGCTGCGTTTCTTACAGAGATGCTTGTCCGCAATCAGCACGCGGTTCTCGGTTCTCACTGCATTCGCCATGCGAAGCCTTACTCAGGGGCATCCCTCACGAGACCCTCGCAAGACTGTTCAAGCTCTCGTCGAGGGTGGTTGGGTCAGTCGTCGGAATGGAGCAGACAACCGAGGCTGGCTTGATCGTCCCGCAGTCGTCAGATCATCCGCTTGTACTAGCGCTAAGCTTTAATACGAGCTGAGAGTGGCTGGCAACAGACGGGCTTGTCTATCTCGACGCGCCGGCAATCGGCCGAGTAGCATGTGTCGATACTCTCGGTCCCAGAGCACCCACCTTACAAGACAACGGCGAAGTTGGAAATAGAAGAGATCCATCCGTCTTCGGCGGAAGATCTTGGTTACAACCGACGTTGATGTTTCCGCCCCGCCACGAACAATGATCGCTCTCGTCTCTTGGCGATGTTGAGCGTGCGGCACCAGAACGGTAACGGGTCTGGGCAGTTGTTGGTTGTCGTGCTTGGCCGCGGTGCCCTTCTCGCTGGGTCACTCTTGAGCCCGGGATTCTCGGCACAGTGGCCCTGTCGCTGGCTGCCAGGCCCCCCAGCGCCTGTTGATCACCGACGTCAGCCTGCCCGTTTCTTATTCAATTCGGATTCCAGGCGGTTTTCCACCGCTACAACAGTGCTGGCTGCACAACGCCGCAGCGAGGAGCTGCCAGAACATTTGAAGAGGATGGGCAGCACCGAAAGCCACAAGTCAATCCAGCCCACACATCGTCGTCTGTTCAGAGTAAAAAGTCAAAGCCAACCTTAGACAGTTGAAGCTACGGAACAGACGATTAAAGATGAACCCCTGGCCTGTTCAACGCCAGCGAGCTGACCTAGGCCCGGCTTGGTACACGCGGGAAGTGCAGACGAGGAATTTAGTGTTTCCTGCGACGAAACCTACGGCCAAGGAGACACAGGAACAGCCAGCGGGACCCGAAAACGTCACCACATCACCTCATGTTGCGCAGACGGGGGGATGCCGGCGACAACTCAGCAGGGGACAGCACCAAGCTCATGGGATGACAAGGGTTCGGACTGCAGCTGATGGCCCTGTGGACTGGGGATAGGACGAAATGGTGCAGCACGATATGCACGCCGAACAAGCTTAGCTGCCAGTGCCAACGCTAGAAGCAGAAACAAGAAGCAAGGAAGAGGGCCAAAGCCCAGGGCGGACCAGACGGGAGACGGGAGTGATGCAAAAAAGATGGGATCATAACACAACACGCACACGTAGCTTGGTGGTAGTAAGACACCGTCACCGCCGGCCGGGGCCAGTCTTGCCAGTCTTGCTATTCAACTGGTTGCGCATTTCTCCTGATTGATTTCCCCAGTCTTACCAGTCCCGAAATGCAATCGTTTCCCATGCCTATGTTTCTGTCTCTCTCTAGCTCTGTTTCTGGCCTATTTGTTTTCCCTCGTCTCAGTCTGCCAGAAACGGAGACAAATTCTCCTCTTTATATTGTATCCATCTGTACCAACCCTCTACTCTCGTGTTGCCCTTGGAAGCTATTAGTGAACGTCCGCCGCTGATCTCCTTTCCCTCGGCCGCTTGACCGGTCTCGTTCGTTTCCTCGACCGCTCCTGACCAGCTCGTATTTGACGTTGGGGTCAGCCTCTCGTTCCTCACTCGCTCTGCAGTTGCGCACCACACCACACCCACCTTCTTTCTTTCCTCTCCGCTGGCAGAACTTGAAAGCACGGAAGTGGAGGCGAGTGCAACTCCGCCGTCATCACTCACTCCTTCACCCTCGTTCCCCTCATCTTGCTCTCGTGGCTGCTTCGCTTCGGCCTGGCCTTGATCACTACCCAGACTGACAAGGTGCCACTACTTTCCGGGGGGCGTCCAACCTGCATGCGCCTTTCTGTGTGGTTCATTCCTACCTACAAGTACACGCATCATCCCAAGCGTGAGGGTGCAGTTTGCGCATAGTAACGACGGTCCAGCCACCGTTCGAGCAAGAACTGTGTGTCGAAGGGAAGGAATACCAACAACCATCCTGACGGCTTGACGGAGCACCTAACCTACCTGATCCTATCACATCACCTCACCAACACGGCTCGACTCTTCATGCGCACGCCCAGCTCGGTCTACGCCAGGGATCGTCTTCCCTGATGCAATTGTTGACCGGTTGCTTATTCCAAGCTTGAGGCGCCTTTTGTTTGCATTTAGTCGTGGACTTCCCCGGATTTTGAATCTAGAGTCCCGTCTTTCGTGCGGTCCGTCCCTCGAAGTCAAGGAACCCTCAACCTTCAAACCGTCGCATCATGGTCGCGCTGCGGGGCAAGTCGTCATGGTCTGTAAGCCGGCTGCTGTCGGCCTTGCTGCTGGTGTCCGTCCGGTTTACCACAGCATACGACCTGGACACCAATGATCCCAGTAAGGCTTTTCGACCGCTCAATTAACACCGTTGCTGACATCGTCCGACAGAGAACATCAAGTCTATCGCCAGAAAAATGACCGAGGACCTGATGTCATTCTACGATGGAGACAAGCCGGGAAAGACACCCGGTCTCCTTCCCGATCCATATTATTGTAGGTGGCCCGCACCTTGGCATCTTGGTTCTTGGCTAACACCATACCAGGGTGGGAGGCCGGCGCTCTCATGGGCACGATGATCGACTATTGGTACTACACAGGCGACGATACCTGGAATTCGGTCGTCACCCAGGGTCTACTTCACCAAGTCGGAAGATACAACGATTACATGCCGGAGAACCAGACGCGAACCGAAGGTAACGACGACCAGGGCTTCTGGGGACTCGCCGTCATGTCCGCCGCCGAATACAAGTTCCCCGATCCGCCCGACGACCAGCCTCAGTGGCTCGCCCTGGCCCAAGCAGTGTTTAACACCCAAGCTGCTCGATGGGATCCAGACCATTGTGACGGAGGACTTCGGTGGCAGATTTTCCAGTGGAACAACGGATACGACTACAAGAACACCATTTCGCAGGCTTGCTTCTTCGCCCTTGCTGGCCGACTCGCCCTCTACACGGGCAACAGCTCATATTCGGAATGGGCTGATAGAACTTGGGATTGGATGGTGGGAGTCAAGTTCATCTCGGACGACTACTACGTATACGATGGCGGCCACATTCAGTACAACTGCACCAACATTGTGCCGTATCAATGGACCTACAACGCCGGTGGCATGATTCTCGGGGCAGCAGCGATGTATAACCACACCGGCAGCGAAGTATGGAAGAACCGACTTGACGGACTCGTCCAGGCCGCTGATGTCTTTTTCGTCGGCGAGGAAAAGAACATCATGCAGGAAGTAGCATGCGAAACAGTCGGACTTTGCAACCTCGATCAGCAATCCTTCAAGGCGTACCTCAGTCGTTGGTTAGCGGCTATCACGAAATGGGCTCCTCACTTACACGACCGTGTAATGGACAAGCTCCGCCCGTCATCAATTGCGGCCGCATCGCAGTGCAAGGGTGGTTCCAACGGTCGCATGTGCGGGCTCAAGTGGACTGAGAACGGAACGTGGGATGGAATGCAAGGCGTTGGCCAGCAGATGGCTGCCTTGGAGGTCACTCTCGGTAACCTCATCAAAGACTCGAGAGTGCCCGTTACTGCTGGCGGCGGTGGTACGTCTGTAGGCGATCCCGGAGCAGGTGGTAATGACATCGGCCGAACCATTCCTGCGGTCGCCGACCTTCCGCCTCTTGGACCCGGCGAAACTGCCGGCGCAGCAATCCTCACGTTCATTGTACTTGGAATGCTGATAGCCGGTATCATTTGGATCTTCATGGACGAAACTTCGGAAAAGCCACTCCAGGAACGCTTCTTCGATTTCAGATCTTCTCTCCTCGGTGGCGGCGCTCTCGCAGCTCTGGCCACGCGGCGGAAGACGGACGACTTGAACGAAAAGGGAAAGGGAGTTGACAACGACACTTCGAGCGAAGCCGCGAGTACCCGCGAACACGGTATCATGGCGCCTTTGCCGCCAAAAGGCAACTCCTTCCATGACAACGAGATACCTCATAGAGGTAGCGGCATGTCTCAAATGACAGACACCACGGCGGTAGCGGGTATTCCCATGGTTCGAGAGAAGAGACTGAGCAGGAAGAGCAGAAATCCTGCGTTGCGAAACAGCGTGGCATCTCAGCAGTCGGCTCGGATCGAGTAAACTGCGCACGGTATTTGGTGGCGCTGCTCCGATATTCAGGATCAGGTGGCGGCATGACAAGTCTGTTTTTTCACATGGCGTTTAATCACGGACGGGGCCCGGACAGGCCGGCTTACTTTTCAGGAACATACTTGGATGTCAACATATGCATTGGGTCGGGCATCATCTTGCATCGATTGGGGGAACAAAATGAATAGTCATTGTCAACAATCACGACAGAATCAGCTCGCCAGGCGAGACAGGCGAAGGAGAAAAAGCTCACGACATTACGATAACTTGTACATAGCTAGATGATGCCAATTATAATGATGCGACTCAAGGTCGCTGTGCCTGCACGAGATGCCCAATTCTTCCACCAGCTTCCTTGTCATGATACGGGAAAGATTATGTCGGCCTGCTCATATGTCATCGATTCAGAGACATCTACCTGGACACGACTTCCAGCAGTTAGCCAACAGCCCCGCCGGCCGGAACTTGAGTTCCTGCGCTTGGCGAAATGCTGCTTCATCAGGACAATCCCGACTGCGCGGGAGGGAACCGGGTACGAGTGGATAATGGAAGGGAATTTGATCCTGATGGTGGCAGATTGTCGAAGACCTACCGACTACGCAGCAGTTGCGCGACCACAGCCCGGCTCGATATTAAGAGCGATTCCGGGGCCGATCTCCGGGATCACTCATCTTACCCGGCGAGTTCCCTGCTCTCAGGATACGCCGTTATACCGCCGTTGACTTTCTCCAGTATACCGTCCGGCGAAAGAACATCTGTTTTCTGACTGGAAACCCGGGCGGCTGGTTAGGGGCTTTTTGAGTTTGAGGTTTTGCCGGGGCTGATTCGATGGCCTCGATGCCGGGAATCTCAGTGGCTTGCTCATCTGCGTTTTCGGGACTTGGGAGGGTGTTTCTTTTGTTGAGTTTACTTGGCGGGGGGGCGTCGCTTCTTGGCTAGCTTATGCGGGAGATATAGGAGATGTTGTTATCACGATGTCGGAGAGAAGCAGCAGCAGTAAAACTGCGCGCACAATCTTGGCGGCGTCCATGGCAATGGAGCCAAGATGAGTAAACATCCCGGGCTAACGTTACGAGCTACAGAGAACAACGGACGCCGTGGTCCGTATCCCAATCCCGGCGCGGAGATAACGGGTCCCGGGAGACGATGGTAGTAGTAGCTCCTCCGGACGGCACACCGATGATTTAGACTTTGGCAGAAGACCCGGCGACGGAGGGGAATTCCGAAATTGGCCGTCCGGGGGGTTGTTGGGTTGTTCGGGCAGGGGTATCGTGGCCCGGGTTTCCCTCCGACGTTGTGATATTGGTGTAGATGCGTCCTGATGATGGCAGTGCTGGGTTTCTTGGCTCGAGGTATATTAGATGGGAACTCGGAAGGAATTGACTTTCCACGCGTCCCGGTGGTTGTTGTGGATGAACTTGTGGATTGCGCTTGTCTCTTGTTGCTGGAGAGTTTCGGATGATTCTCTCATGCAATCTGACATTGGATTCCTGATGGCCGAATGCTGCTTCGTGGGTTTCTTATCACATGTCTGGTGTCCTCCCTCATATTCACTGAATGGTGACATACTAAACCAGCGTGGAGGGATCCGAATGGGCGGGGGAGCTGAGATGTGATGGATGGACCGGCCTCCGTCGTTTTTCTTTGTTACCCCGGATTTTACCAGACGTCAGTCACGGATCCAGTCGACTTCCCTCATCAAGTAAACATTCCATATACGGGAAGAGTTTCTACGAGACTTTGTTTCTGTTGTCCAATCGGCGCTCGAGCGATGGTCAGCCTGTTGATTGGAGATTTGGAGGAGAAGGAACCGAGAACGTCTTTCGTATAAGGCAACTTCCTCGCATCGGGGAATACCACCACCTCGCGATGGAAGTGTGCGGGGGAAGACAGCATCGCCCGCCTGCGTTTTGTTTAGTTCGGCGCGAAGCTGGTTCTCCAAGTTTTGAATACGGACTAGCCAGATCAGATTCGCCACCACGCCAACAAACGTCGCGTTACTCCGCATATTTGCGCTGGCTCGTGAAAGGGAAGATGCATCACGTAGACGTAGTAATAGACGCACACTTGATGGTGGGAAAAGGGAAGTGTGCCAGGGATTGGGCATGTTACATCGAACATCGCCCACCCCTCCTCGGGCCCCTCATGCACGCGCCTCGGCAAGATGGGGAACAGCAAGGGATACTTGAACTTAGACGTTTCTTGATTAGTCTACGCTCCCGAGGGGGAGGATCCGAGGAAAGTTAAGGTAGCTTTATGAACAGGCTGTAAAAAAACCTACGTTCAGTTCTTAAGAGGAGGGAGGGGTTCTTGGGGCCTGAGTCTTTTCTTATTCTGTCCCTTTTCGTCTGATATTATCCTGCCTTTGCACCATCGGACAACCCGGCACGGACGTTTGGGAACGTCGGCGCAAACCTCGAGCGATTCATCTGTCCGGCTGAGGGGTAGCTCAGATATAAAGACCCTTTGCTCGACCTCAACAACTAGAGGGTGGCCGTGTTCTAGAGTAAGTGAGTCGACATGGCGCGAGAGTATCTTTACCTGGCTTCGTCCGCCGTCCTGGGGGCCTACATCCTCTGGACGGCCGCGGAGAAATACCTCGCCTACAGCGACAGACCGCCATTCTCATCCTCCAACAACTCGGCGTCCGCCTTCTTCGCGACGCTGCTGCTGCTCCCGACGTACATTCTCTTCAAAAAGGCGCAGTACCTCCTCAAAATGAAGGCGCGCGGCTGCGCAGAGGCGCCGACGTACCCGCACAAGGACCCGATCTTCGGGAGCGACTGGGTGCGGCAGTCGATAGCGAAGCAGAACGAGCACGGCATGCTCGAGTGGTGGGCGGAGCTGTTCGGGCAGCTGGGGAACACGTGGTGGGTCAAGACGCCGGCGACGTGGGTGCTGATGACGGCGGAGCCGGAGAACACCAAGACGATACTGGCGTCCGGGTTCGCGGACTGGGCGATCACGGGGTTGAGGAAGGACGCGATCGCGCCGATTCTGGGGGAGGATGCGATCTTCGCGGCCAACGGGCAGGCTTGGCATGACGCGAGGGCGATGATGAGGCCGACGTTTGTGAGGAACCAGATTGCGGATTTGGCGTGCTTTGAGAGGCATGTTGGGAATCTGATGTCGAGGATTCCGAAGGACGGGAAGACGGTTGATTTGCAGAATTTGTTGTACATGATGACCATGGACTCGGCGACTGATTTCATGTAAGTGCCGAGGTTTGTGAGGGATGGATTGTGCTGACGAGAGGAACAGGTTTGGCAACTCGACGAACATGCTGACGACTCCATCGGCTGAAGCCTCTGAGTTCACAGCTACGTTCGAGTACATCATCATGCGCTCGGCGATCCGGGCTCGTCTAGGTCTGTTCACCTTCCTGAACCGCGACAAGAAGTGGGACGAAGGGTTGAAGACCATCAACCGCTTCTGCGACAACTACATCGGGCGAGTCAAGGCCAAGAACAAAGACCCGGAGCGGGGGTACGTCTTCCTCCACGATTTGATGGACCAGAAGACCTCCCCTGACTACATCCGCGCGCAGCTTCTCTCCATGATTCTCGCGGGCCGCGACACCACAGCCTCCACGCTCTCATCGCTTTTCTGGATTTTGGCCCGGAGACCTGATGTTGTCTCTCGTCTGAGAACAGAGGTGGATGAGCTCAATGGTCGACAGCCGACGTGGGAAGAGATGAAGGATATGAAGTATCTCAACCATGTTCTGAAAGAGAGTGAGTGCCAAGATGGAAGTAAACGTGGTGAACGGTGCTGACAACGTACAAAAGTCTTGCGGCTGTACCCGTCTGTCGCAAACATGTCGCGCGGCGCAGCACGGGATACCACGCTCCCAGTTGGCGGCGGACCCGACGGCAAATCACCCGTATTCGTTCCGAAGGGAACACTCGTGCGGTGGTCTACCTTCGCCTTCCAAAGGAGAAAGGATCTCTTTGGAGAGGATGCAGACGAGTTCCGCCCTGAGCGCTGGGAGGATCGCCGTCCAGGGTATGCCTCCCCCTTGTTGTAAATCTCCGGGGCGGCCTGTTGTCATTCGTTGTGATGAAAATTGAGTGCTGACATACGTGCGTAGTTGGGACTACCTGCCGTTCTCTGGCGGTCCTAGGATATGTATTGGCCAGCAGTTTGCGCTGACGCAGATGAGCTACTTCGTCGTGAGGATGTTGCAGACTTTCAAGTCAATCGAGCCCAGGGACGAGAGACCTCTGGCGCAAACGGTTGGCATCACCACCAAGTTGCCATACGATGTTCTTGTCGGGTTTACACCGGCGTGAGGCAAGCTTTCTGAAACTTGAAAACATCGTTCAATGACATGCTTTGAGTGTCATGAACCCGTGTCAGAGGTTCTTTAGAGAAGTAGATCGACACCAATTGAGGCTTCAAGTTGACAGCGGCTCTCTGCGCCTCCCGCGCATGTCCGCAGCGGGATGCATAGCACTTAGAACGTGCTGCGTAATTGGATTCAAGCTGGCTTGGCAGCCTGTTTCCCGCGTGCGAGGCTTGCAGTACCGGAATCTCGAAAATCAATGCTGCACAATGGTATGCAGGTCGCATATGTGCGTTCCATCTCGGCATGCAGCCGCCGTTTGGTGATGCAGCCATACCCCAGACCACTCGCGTACGGCTGGTTGGTCGGTGACATGCGGGATCTTCACGCTCATCTCAAGGATCGAAGTTCGGGTAGGACGATGCCATATTAAATGTCTTCTGGAAGCGAGGAAAAAGCCGCCCCGGAAACCAGGAACCGCGACTGGAAATCAGCCACTGTCTCTGATGTCTCGGCCGTGAAGACGAGAAAACGTTCGAGTTTGAATCTGTCGGTCGCCAATAGCGAGTCTTGACCAGGTTGATTTCCTTCTGATGAGCGGCGGGAGGTCGACGTTGGACGCGGACGGGGAACGGCTGGTTCGTGCAAGTCAAAGGTACCAAATTGTGTTTCATTGCGCGACGAGAGTCGACCTCAGAGAGATGACAAGCGGATGAGGGTCTGGGAGGGAGTCGAACTGGCGGTGGCACTCGGGGCCCCGATGCATGTAGCCGAATCGACCGACGTTCAGGCCTTTTCCCCAGTTGAGTGATTATTTGGAGATTGCGCGGTGTGGGAAAAAGAAATATCGTAGGCTAGCCCGTTTCGATGAGTGAGACGATCTTCATTGTGTTCTTGCTCGGGCCCGCCGTATTAGTCACTGACGCTGACATGTTGGTTTTGCGTGGGATGTTTGCATGATGATTGTCCTGTTGATTCGGGGTTGAGCTTCGAGCTTCGAGCGGCATCGGGACGGGCAAGAAACCCCGGATAGGTACCATGTTGGAAATTGATAGGAGGAGGATCACCTTCCGTTCAATTGAGTCGTGGATTCTGGATACAAATGTCAGCAGAAACTCCAGGAAGGATGCCATCATTCCGACTCCCTTATTTGGAGATCGAATTGCCTCTTCCAGTCTGGGTCTTGCCCATCTCGCTTCTTCGGCCATTCTCTCTCTCCTAGAGAAGGCAGGTACATCTGCTGGGTTGAGAAAACGGGAAGGCCGCGGTTACCGGCATATTTACTGCAAACCAGGAAGGTTTGACAAACACCAGAAGTGCAAGTGCTTCAGGTCGTCCCAGGAAGAAGAAGGAAGCACGGCTTCCCGCACAGCGACTGATGTGGAGACGGAGACGACATGACTTACCTTACGTTAGGAGGGAGGTCTCCGTAGTGTTCAGTGTTGCTTCCCTGTCTGGTGTTTGCCCACGTTGGGTGTCATGGATGGTAAGTTAGCTTGTTTGGCCCTTCCCCTGACGTTCTTGATCGTGGTCCCGCTCGTTCCTCCAGCTCCTTCATATTTCATCCTCTTGAATCCCGAGATTGTGGTTCTCTCCTCTCCGAATAGCCGCGCTCTTGATCCTGGACTTCATCTCCCCGGCGTCGCCAATGCAACAAACTCTCGTCTGGTCTGAAGTCGTCTTGTCCAAGCCCAGACCAAGCCTTTCGTCGAATGTAACGAGCAAGTCTTCGACACAATCAGTCATGTCCTTCTTCCAAGGAGACTCCCGCCCCGGAGAGCAGCCTGCGCCGCCCCCACGAGCCCTCACCCCCGTCGAGATCGGAGTCATCATCGGCACCATCACCGTCTTCATCGCCGCCATCGCCTCGCTCTTCTTCTACCGTAGTAGGAAGGCCAAGAAACACAGTGTCGAGAATGGGGAATCGCCGTATGATGGAAACCCGCAACCGGATTCGGGCCAAAACAAAAGTGATGATGCATCATCGCGAGGAGAAGAGACGGTAGACCGCGATGCGATACCGCCCTCGACAAGGAAAAAGAGAATCTGGAACGAGTTCGGGACTGTGAAAGCATATGAGCCTGATGGTTAGCCACCCGGTTCTCGTAGTGGAATCATCTCGCTAACAGATTTGCAGTCGAAAGAGGAGAAGCGTACGAGATGCGGGATCGTGCCCAACGCTAAATTGCTGGGGGCATTGCTGCGTGGAAACTGGCCGACGCGAGAATGAAATTGCGCGAGGAAAATGGCGTTGGCATCAACTTTGACTCGGGGATGTGTCTTGATATGCAACAAGGTGTGAGGGAGCTTTTGCGCTGTCGTCGCTTGCACATAGCTGGTGGTTAGCTCGTCCTTTCTACATATTTCTTGCCTTCAAAAATCGAATAATGCTCATCAATTCATCTTCTCATCCTGGACGAGCCTGTAAAGTGCAACCTCAACAAGAGACACACATGCTCATTGAAAAGTGTCTATTGACGCCGACCCCTAAATCGCAACTAAACCACGATAAACAGATGAACCATTCTGGACCGCTTCGTGATCTTACCTAAACGCCGGTAATGCTTCCAGTCCCACCAATCCCATGTTCTACCATAGAAATACGTTGCTCATCATGCTTCCGTTATTGCTACTGCTGACCAGGCTTGGGCATGTAGCGACTCCTAAACGCTTGACTGATGCTGAACCTGCTCCCGATGGCGCCGTCTTGCATCTTACTCGCGAGGGCCTCCTCGAGAGCGGACTGGGTCACCGATGCGTCTGTCGTGCGTTAGTCTCCATGTTTCAGGATAAGAGCGCGCTGGAACATACCATCCAAGTCACTAAAGCTACTCCCCATGCTTGGTGTCCCGTCACTGCCATCGCGAGAGTACCCCTTGCTCTTAGAACTGGGGCTCTTGCCAGACAACTCGGCTGGGCGGCGAGGAGAGAGCGGTCCTGCTGGTCGACGGTCTGATCCCGACTGTACACGGGATACCATTGCAGGCGAACTGGTCGACGAGTCTGAGGTCTCCGAATGGTGAATCCTCTCCTTGCCTTTGGCAGTTCGTCGGGCATTCCGGGGGTCGCCCCTAAGCGTAGATCCCATGTCCTGCGCTGAAGTGTTGGATGATTGGGGTTTGTATTGCAGGAAGGCGGGCTCGGTGTCGTCATCTTCATCATCCAGATCGACACCTCCGTCTCGCTGTTGGAAGCGAGGAGGGCGGCGGATGATGCGCGACTGTGCCGGGCTGGACTCGTCATCGGACGATGTAGGAGAGCTGGACTCGTCGGGAGGCGACGCCGGTTCGGGGCTTCGGGGTGTGGTCTGTATGGGCAGGGAAGACAGGCGGCGGCGCTGGTTCTCGTTTGATGGCCGCGAAGCTGCGGGCTTGCTCTGGCGAGCAGTGGTGCTCTCGCCGCCGAGGTTGCGTGTTATGGTGCCCGCGGAGGCGTTGCGAGAGATGTTCGGTCGGAGGGATGTCGTGATGGGTGTCGCTGGGGTGCTTCCATCGTTGCGAGGAAGGGGCGAGTCGCGGCGGATGGAGAGGGCGGAGACGGTCCTCTGGTGGGAGTGAGGCTCGGCGCCGGGGATCGGGGAGGGGGCAGCGGAGCCTTTGGCGGCGGCCGTCGCTTTGCGGACCTGGGCTCGAAGCTGGGCGGCGTGTCGTTCGGTGAGGTAGGCTACCTGTTGCAGGAGAAAGTCGACGGTCACGTCGAAGTGGGAGGCTCTGGGAGGGCGCTGTGAGCTCGGAAGGGAAGCTCACGTTCTGCAGGGATACTTACAGATCATTCCCTGGACAAAGACTGGTCAGCGAGGTCGAGAAAGAGGGGGATGGATCGAAGCTTACAGTCGATTTCCGTCTTGGCTGCGCCAGAGAGGATGTTCCACAGCTCATCGTCCTTGGTGGAATCCCAGTTGGCCTGTATGGGCAGAATCGCATCAGCATCAGGCCGCGCGACGACGAGCATCGGGGACGGCGCCCGCGACGGGTCGAACTTACCGGAGGGGGATCCGTGAACTCGCCCCGGACAATGGGCAGCCGGACGAAGACTGTGTACGTTGGATCAGTCATGCTGTACGTACGTTCGACATGCTTGCTGGCGTAGCTCGAGTTGATGTCAGCCTTGAGAAGCTTTGGAGGAGCGCGACGACGGGAAGGAGGATGACGGAAGTGGTTTGGCTCGTCGTCGAGCCTTATCGGAGCTGCGGAAGGCACGATAACGACGGACAGATACGCCGGCTGGCCACGGCTGGCAACGAAGGTTGCGGTTGATGCCTGGGCCATTACATAAGCCTTCCGCTGGAAAGGAAACCGCTGGCTGGTGTTTCGCTTTCTCCCACCTCCTCAACCTTCTCGCACGATCCGGACTAGATGACGGGGACCTTTGCTTGGAACTTCCCTGTCGCGATACGTTTTTTGCGCATCGTTAGGAAGTTTGCAAAGAACACACTGAATTCATCAAACGTCCGTCACCTTCTCGAACAATCGCAGCACCTGGGGTGGTTGAGCCCCGCTGCCCAAGGCATTGAAACCCAGGGAAGCCTCAAACCTAATGAACCTGTGCGTCTCAACACCTCGGAGCTCGATATCGACGTGTCTTGGCTCTGACTACCGCGATACGGGCTCGCACATTCGGACGGTGAGGCGAACCTTTCCGAAACGGGGTCATTCCCTGTAGGCCACGTTGAGTTCTGTATCTTGAGGCTGAGACGCATAAACGTCTCTTCCTTCAGCCGATGGGTTGGATTTGCTTATAATAGTGACTGTGTTTGTCCCTTCTCCTACAGTCAGGACCCAAGAATTCTGGAGAAAGGGGGAATTATGGCTTAGGACCAGCATGTAAGACGCCTCGTTCGTTGACCAGTATACAGATCAACACGGTGAGACGCTTCTCACAGCACAGTTTAATCTAGGAGTCCGAAGTCAGGTCACGATCTTATCAAATGAAAAGACGGAACGAGTGTCGCTTGACTCAGTTACGCCGTCCAAAGTCCGCAATGTCTGATGCCGAGGGTAACCTTTCGATATGAGATAAAGATTCGGCCGTATGCAGCGTCTCGAAACTGCGGTCATTTGATAAGCTCTTGGGGCATCCTCTCATGTCACAACATGTGTTGAAACTCATGAGCTAGGTGGTCATTAAATACCAGTTTTATAACATACATTGTACATTGGTCTCGAGAATGTTAACTAACTCTTACAACATCGCAGACCTATGAGAAACTAGCAAAGGGCCCTGAAAACTTATTGTTTTGACCTGCTTGTACTGGTATTTCCTCAAAACCTAATACCTCTTCGTTTTCAACAGCAAGCCGGCGATACAGCCATGGATCTCACTTCTCTGGAAAACCTTTCTCTCAGACGACGCTTCACCAACACGCCGTTCACACGTGCCATGAAAGGCGTGGGCGGTAACAAATTCATGAAGACCCACTACTAAACATCCACATCTCAACTTCTCACGCCCCATCACGTCCCACTCCCACAAGCCCTAGCAAACGCTTCAGAAATGATCATGCCAGTGATTCTTTCATCAATCAATCCGATATGGTGTAGTGGCCAACATGATGCCCTCTCATCATTGAGAGGCAGGCATAGCCCCGAGTTCGATTCTCGGTTTCGGAATAACAAGATGTCAATCTTTTTGGATTTTGATCTGCCTTTCGTAGGAGTATCTTCAGATCGCGCTTCCAAGATTTCTCATTTGCCCGAGGAATTGCACTTTTGGCCCCAACATGCTCCTCATACTCGCGTTGATACATCGTTTGACACTGACCCAGAGCCGACTAACTTACAACCTCCTAGGTCAACAAGCCATCGTATGAAACAGAAATTTCCCCACCACAGGGTAGCAACACGCCGCTCAAAGCTCCAAAGCCTTTCTCAGGGCAGCCTCGTTGCGAGGAATAAAGTTGACGTGGTACTTCTTCGGCGCGATGATGAGGTTCTTGATGTCGTCGCACCCGGTGAGGGGGTTTGTGTCGTAGTTCTCGTTGGTGGTGATTTTGAAATTTGCAATCATGCGAAGGAAGGTGAGGTACAGCTCGCGGTTGGCCAACAAAGTTCCCGTGCACATTCGGTAGCCCATGCCGAAGGTGAACATTGGGGCCTCTGGGTTCTCAAGCCAGCGCTCGGGGCGGAAGGTCTCTGGATCTTCCCAGAGCTCGTCATCTGAGATGGAGTTAGATATTAGCTGGGAAAAGGGTTCATTGATCTGCGTCTTACCCATGTTGCAAGCCCACGAGTTGAGGAAAACGACCGTTCCCTTGGGGATCAGCTTTCCTTCGAATACGAAGTCCTTGTTGGTTGCGCGGGGGAGTGAAAGGCGAAGGACGGTGAAGTATCTGGATTGGATTAGCAATGTGCATGGTCTTCAGCCAGGACAAGACTTACCTCAGACATTCACGAACCAGGGCCCTGACATATGGGATGCTCTGGTCGTCCTTGGGATCGCAAAGAGGATTCGCCGCGTCGTACACCTTACTAATGGCATCGAAAGCCTTCTGCTGGATCTCGGGATGTTGAGCAAGAAAGGCGATAGACCACGTCGTGACAGCCGAGAAGGTCTCGAACCCAGCCGAGAGCATCGTCAAGCTGATCGAGGTCAACTCGACGTCGTTGAGCTTAGCCTCCTCATCCAGCATGACATTCGCCTGGATACACGGCTCGTAAGTACCGTTCCGGACCCTCTCCTTCAGGTCATTGTTCAAGTTGGAGAGATACTTGTCGCGACGGCGCCTCATAGCCACGGCCTGGCGCGACCCGGCCGAGAAGGGGTTCATCCGCATGAGAGGGATGTAATCCTGGAGGTTGTCCGTGACGCTTCGCGTGCGGCTGATGTTGCCCTCCACGTCGGTGATTTCCTTGAACAGGGGGTCCTCGGCGCTGGGGAATCTGAAGCCCCAGTTCAGGGTGACGGCGAGTGACAGGCTGAGTCTCTGGACCATGGGCATGGGGTACACTGGCTTCTTTCCGGATTGGCCGTAGTTGAGGATGTCCTTCAGGAACTCCTTCGTCTCCAGATCCAGATGAGGGACGTAAGTCTCGATGGCGGGGCGGTTGAGGGCTGATGCGGCTCCCTTACGGCGGCGCTTCAGGGACTCATTGTATGGCGATGTGCCGATGGTGGTACCGGCGGTGTTGGCCACGAGCTGGTAACATTAGTAACATGGTCTTACAAAACACCAAACAGGATTCGGAAAGTACCTTGTGAAACGTGTAAAGCTCAGGACGGGACGCAGTCGCTTGTGAGTTGTGCCCGAGGATGACCTTTGCCGCGGCGGCGGTGTTGATGATCAGGACAGGCAGGTTACCAAGCTGAACCTGATAGACAGCACCATACTCCTTGGCCCATTCGCGGTACTTTTCGGCGGCGTCATGTCTGACCTGCCACAGATTCCCGATGAGGGGAAATCCCGTCGGGCCGTTAAACATGGATAAGCGAGCCTTCGACCGATAGATCTCATTCGCGACGATGTACACCAGAGCTACCAGTCCCAATCCTTTTGCTAGAAACTCAATGGGATGGTAAGTTGCCTCTCGGGCCAGCGCCTGAAGTACTTCCGCGACGAGCATGTTGAGTTGGTGACGTTGCGGCGGTGGATGGCTTGTTTGTCGTCAAGATGCTGAAAGGGGAGATGTTGAAAGTAATCACGACCGGCAGTGCCGCTAAATTTATAATACCCAGTGTTTAATTGGGCGGAAGCTTCATTGATTAATCCCACCGGTGCAAGGAATCTTGAAGTTTGGATGACATGTTGTCGAACCTAAGGTAGCGTTGTGCGCCCTTGGGCGGAAATGCCGGCTTCAGAATTCCGCTTTCCGCGATGCCTCCAATTCCGCAACCGTACCTCGTGCCGCCACCCACAGCCCAAACCTGACATTTGATATTGTATGAAAGAAGAAGGCTATGTCAAATTATGGATTCAATAAACGTCCACGCCTGCGAACCGAACCATGCATGTTGCGTCTCTTTATCCTGGACTTGAGAATAACCTGCGTATCTTGGCCACTCATCACTGCTACCATTGTTAACGACTGCTATCTGGCCTAGCTAATTGATCTGTACTCTGCTGATGACTGACTCCAATCAGGATCTTAAACATAGAGAACAGATCATGTGACGATATTATTACTATTTGCATGCAGGCTCATCATAGCATATCTACAAATAAATGAGAAACGTCCAACATAGACGAATCAATAGTGTCATCCGCAACGCTCTCGCCAGTCTGCCCTGACGATCCATCGAGATCCTCACCACACAAGCCCAGAGATGGATATGACGAGGTGAAGTCAGGCCCGTTGTCCATCGCATTGAAGAAGTCGCTCAACTCCTGCGCCATTTGTAAATCACTAAAAGCTTCCCTCCCCCCTGGCTGCCAGGTTTCATTACTCGTCTGCCGCAGACCCGGATCACTCGTCTGTGATACATCTTGCGGCGAATGATCGACGTTGCTCGAGGACGGTGGAGGTGTTGCGGCCAAACTGCGCTGAGCGCGAGTCTCTCGGTCCTCCGCCGACTGTGGAGGGTTAAGGCCAAGTTTTCTCCATGCAAGCCTGAGGTCGCCGACCATCTTCCAAAGGCGACTAGAAACGTAGGACTTCGCGCTGAGGCCGCGGATCAGGTCAAGTGCAACATGGAACTCGTCGCGGACCGTTGACCCATACTCGGAAGGCGCGAGTGCCACGACCAAGAAGATGACCCCCAAAGCAGATACCAAAAAGTGATTGAAACACATCTGCTGTGTCTGGTATATGTCCGTCGACTTGTTAAGAGAGTGCAGTTTCCGAATGGTATCTTTGGCAAATCTGATAAGTGATTGGACCTTCGACTTGTTGGCTTTCAGGCTGGATGGAGAGTGGAGGATTGGTTGGAGAAGTAAGATCTTCATCTGGTTGGTTCGTAGGTGTAGAAGGAGCTGAAGCCGCTGAGGAACTCTCGTCGCCTGAGTCCATTCGCGCGATTCCCAGTCTTGGCTGAGTCTGAGACTTTCTGGGAGCTCTTCGTACCATCGATCTATCAAGTAAAGCAGGTACGATATCTCATCATCCCGAACTGCTCCGGTCGTCCTAGCGGAGTTGTATGATGTGGACCACACCTTATTGCCGATCTGGCTGTAGGCAACCATTGCCTTCAAATACGGAACGGCATCGTCCTGGGAAATTGGACGATGGGTATTAGAAGCTTGGTCTTGTCAGAGGATAAAAGAGGGTAGCCTACCGGTTCTGGCAGATTTCTATCAACATCGCAATGATGCATGACAAACGGCAGGCCGGCACCGAATCCCCACCGTCGGTCTAAAGTGTAAACACACCAGAAGAGTCTGAGTGCCACCTTCTGTTGCTCTTCCTCTCTGAAAAGCCTATTGACTGTTGCCGATTGATGAAGGCCAATCTCAAGACACCATCGGGCCGAGATTCCCACCAATCTCCAGGCTTGCAGGTCATCGCCGGTCATAAAGCTGTAGATGGCCTGTTTTTTTATGAGCAAGGAACCTGGAATTGAGGCTATGTGTACCACACTCACCAGAAGAACGAAGAGCATTGTGTTCTTTATCCCAGCCGGCTCCCACAGTTTGTCATGTGATGCCTTCCTGACACCAAGGAACAAAGCTTTACCAAGCTGACTAGATCCACCGGCTTCGACAACTGACCCGGCGGAGATGACCATTTTGATCAAGTCCAAATCTAGAGGGTCAATGACCGTGGGCCCCGGCATGGCTGTAAACGCGAAGCCATTCTGAGATCCAGTAGCCATGGCTCTGTACAAAGTTCGGACGTTGTCAACCAGCTTTGTCATATTGAGAAACGGGTACTGGATCCCAATCTCGGCCTCGTAAAGATCGCAAAGTCGGATCGCCTCTTTTTCATCAATCAACCACAAGGGATCAACTGAACCAACACCGAACTCCAAAGGTGTATGAATAGAAGGGGAGGATGGGCGAGTTGGGTCAGTTGACAATGAGGAACCTTGCTTGTCGCTGTCGGTCATCGCTATGCCTTGTGCTCTGAGATGCGTCCGAGCAAGACTGATGTTGAAGGTGTAACTTGCCGAGGGCTGACAATTCTCCTGGCTCTCAGCAGACTCGACCGAAGGGTAAGCTTGGTCTGGTCGCGCCGCATTGCTACCGGGATCGGTGTAATCTGGAGATATCAAGCGACTGCGAGAAGCACTGAAAGTGTCATCAAATTGTGGAGATGAGTGAGTCTGTGTACTCAGTCTCTGTTGAGTTGGTTGTTGTTGTCTAAGCAGGGCGAGGTCTCCCTGTAGAGACGCAACCTGCTCCTTCAGAGATCGAATAGCTTGTGTATCGCCTTCACTTCTGGCTTTTAATCAATACTGAAAGCGAAAGGTAATGCAAGACAGAACTCACATTGCACCCGCGGGATTCTCCCTTTGCTTTTTCGACGCAGGGTATGCACCTTGTTGAAATTAGTAATGGGTCGAGTACAACATGCTGTGTAATTGAGGTCTTACAAGTCAAAGACTGACGCGCACACCGTAAACACGGACTTCGTCCATTGCATTTGCTTTTTCTCTTTCTGCATTCAAAACTGTAGTTGGACAAGTCAGCAAACATCCATACGTGAGGTTTCGCAACCCGAGGCCCTCTCTTACCAGGCTTTGGAGATGTACTTTCCCCTAGTGGTTCTCGGCTTGGCTGTGGTGGTCTCTCCAACTGGGGTGGTTGGAGACAAAGGGTGAGGTGCTGCTTCGGAAGTCGGCTCCATGGCGGAAACAATGTTGAGCATAAAAATTAGGAATAATGCTGATTCCTGTGTACGGTTCCTTTTCTTTCTCCACGTCCTGCGTCCTGCCTTTCTAGGCTGGCTTTCCAACAACTGACGGGAAGCGTAGACTGGGGGGAAGTTGGGCGGAATTTGGGGATAAACCCCCGCGGTTTTGAGTCTGGAGAGATGCGGGCTTCCGCGGCCCGCAGCAAACCCCGCAAAGACCACCCCGCAGGATCCACTACCTATCCCGACGTGTCCGGGGCCAGAAATTAATTTCAAGTCGCTGGCAATTGGAGGCTTGAGTCCTCTGACGTATGAACTTCATATTTAGCGGGACGCTATCATGACTTTTCTACGAGGGCAGTGAGGCTCGATACTTGGCAAATTTCTCCTTTTTCACCGCTGGACTTGTAGGAAACGCCAGCCGAAAGCGACTTGTCAAGCTATTCCAAGGGCTTATGATATCAATGATTCAAAGGCCATCATTAAAAACTTGCTGGATATTTTTGACACTATTCACCAAGTTTAAATTTGAATTGGAAGCAAATGCAAGCCAAGAGATGGCATCGTCTGGGGAAGCTGGGCTTCGGGATTACCCCCGATTCATTGTGGAGACCGGGAAAGCGGGGTGCGGAATTTCCGGAATTCGGGTTCACGCTTGGGGTTCAGAGCGGAATTGGACGATGATTTCCGAGATGTCACCGCATGAATCACTTCGTCATTTTCACGAGTTAACAAGCGAGCCTTCGCTCAATTTTAGACTGAATGACTTGACACGCGTATGCATGATCAAAGATAGGTTCGACTAACAACAGTAGTAAGGGCGGGCTGACTGGCTCTAATCGTGAACTTGGAGAGTGATTGTGAGGGCGTCATATTATGGCACAACGTTGTATTTCATGAGATCCATGCTCAAAGGATGGCGCATAGTTCCACCAGCAACCACCTGGCACGACTACAGGTACTATCATTATCGTATCAAACATTATTTCCGACCCATTAAGTTGAAGCCGCCATGGCTGCATCGACCCTCTATCGAATATGCGTCATCATGCGCGGTACCGTTCCCAGGAGGTGTGCATTCGGGCTCGCTGGCCAGCTGTGAACCTGTCTCTGCAAGTGCTGTTGCAGAGTCTTCTGTCAATCTTTTCAATTTCATATAACAATGATCGGGTTTTACGTACTGACTGGAGTAGTCCATATGATTGCGGATAGGATCGAGACCCCGCTGCCCGGGGCAGGAGTCACGACCAGTGGGACAACCCATGCTTGCGCTTGCTTGAGCAGGAGTATCCGAGACGTAGTCGCCGCTACCAGTGCAGCTGTTGCCATTGAAGGTGTGATAAAGACCAAGCCAATGGCCGATCTCATGAACAGTCGTTTTCCCATAATTAGAGCCGGTTTCACTGCCGCCAGGCAGAGTTGTGGAACGAATGGTGCAGCCGTCGTCCACAAACGCCCTCGAACCCAACCTGACGTTCTCAGGCAAGGTGCAGCGACCGTAGACCGAAGGCAAGTCTTGCAGGAAATACAAGTTGAGGGCTCGGTAGCTGCCCTGGCGGAGAGAGCGCTTCATTGCTGTGGCGTCGCCGTTTCTGGACCATTTGGTGTTGACAGTCCGGGTAGTTTGGATGAGATCGAAGCTGATTCCATGGGGTTCGAAGTTTTCCCTCATGACATCCAGCTGTTCGGACAGCATCCTCTCCTGCGAGAGCGTTTAGTTAGGGGTGGTCGGCTCGACGTGGAAGTTTACTTACAGTGAGCCAGCCGCCTGCCACTGATCTAGAAGAAGCGACGACATGAAAGTAGGTCTCGACAGTGATTGTAGAAGCAGCCAAGCGTAATGTTCCGTTGCTGGACTCCAACGCCTCTTGTTGAGCGAGTACTTTGGAGATCTCCATATGCTCGACTGACGGCTCCTCGTTGCCACATTCGAACTGCTCCTTTTTCTGGGTCGCAGCACCAGATACCAACGCAATGAAGGCCATAAAACAGCCAAATTTGAGGTGCATGGCTGAGAAGCAAAATGCTGAAGAAGGGACTGATGTTGTTGTGAGGTCAAATTCTAATGTTGAACTGAAGTATGGCGTATGAAATAAGTCGTGAAAAAGTCTCAGTATTGGGTAGAAATCGATTATACCCTTACAATAGTCGCCTAATCTCGTGAAGCCAATATCTCAGTCGTGCAAATGCGCCCTCTCCAGGTGAATGACGTTTGTGTCAGTCAAATCGGGACAATGAATGACGGTCAGCGGGTTGACAGGATGCCAGACTGAACAAATCAAATCTCAAGGTTTCTGATCAATGTTGTAAGCCAAGTCGATATTAGATGATTATAGGAAAGAAGTAGTAAGGTGAGCGGACTTGGCTGCCTTCCTCGCTCAGAGGCTCCGGGAACCAAGAGAGACAGTTCGGTGAGGTGCGACTCGAAATAACAGAAGGAGACATCTCTGGGGGTAAAGATCTCACCGAAGAGATGTCTTGGAGATTCTTTTCTGGCCCGCTGATGTAAGATCGTATCATCATACCGAGCTTCGATGAATCCCTGCCAAGTTGAACAGCCTCACTAATCACAGCCAATGACACCGGGTAATTGAAGTGAGAACCAGAATTGAATTGCGGCAACTGAAACTAATAATCTATATTCGCCGATCATGCCGGGCATGATCGGGCGCAGGGCGCATAATGATTCGGGAGCACGCGCATGCTCCAGGAGCCCGTGCTACACTTCTATCCAGCATTCCGGAGAACAGACTAGGCAGATACCTTCATTGAGGGTGTAGTCTGCCATGATTATTGATGGCTACCGTCAAACCTCGTGTTTGCGTCATCTAGCCATGCGTGGCTTGATTGATCGTGGAGGGTGTGGTCTGGCCTCCCGGTAAGGCAAGGAGGCAAATCCCAAAAAACTAGTCTTGTGTAGAAGCATGTAGTTCGATGTTCTAGACACCGGAAACACGGTTCGTTTATTAAATGCAAGCACAAGCCATCCCGCTGCGTGGCCTCTGGAACACGGCATCAGCGGCCGCTCCCGCCTGCAAAGATCGGGCGATCTCTGTTCCCAAGTGATTGGTAGTGAGGAAAAGGCAAGGTGAAGCCACAAGTTCCCGCCTGCAACTACAAATCTTCTCCTGATGAGATTTAAAATTGATCGAAAAACATGCTCGATTCATTATTGCATGCAACAAGTGCGGCATTGGTGACGTAGGCATAGGCATACCGGAATGGACTATTACTTCATCGTTCAAGATAATCACTGCAGTCCTGCGAGTTATTTTTGGGCCTATATGATTCTAGAAGCATTTGGGGTTTCATCAATGTCCTCGTTGATTGTATTGGGTATCATACTCTAGTCTCGTTCTTACCATGCGGACAGCGTGGCCCAGGCAGTGGCGACTTAAATATTCTTCTTGATTCAGCGTGGACGATCTCTTGTTTTTGAGGGAAAGTGGCTAGCAACTGCAAATATTTTAATTATGGAAATTGTGGCAACCTGAAAACCCAACTCAGGTAGATTCAATCCGGTGTAAGAACAGTTGGCCCGTAATAATGGACAACGTTGTCCCAAATCCGGTTGCACGTCATCTAGGAGCCCGGCCCATTTCCATTATGAAGATGTGGTACGACAGGCGAATTGAAGCCTCCAGCCTTCTACCATACGGCATTGATCGCAAGAATATTGAAATCGAAACGTTCGTTCTGGCGTAGCCCAACAGTGACATGAAGATGAAATTAAACCACATAATGAAGAGATGCACCAATACTGCCTGAAAACCCCAGAGGCTCAGGCCCAATGTGTTCGAAGAAGGCCGATATGGCGAAAACTGTCGTTCTTTGTGCCTGGCGGTTCTTTGCCAAGATTGTGGGGAACTCGGTTCATGTTTCGAAGCTTCGGGACTCACGGGCAGTACAATTCGCTCCGATGAAGGAATTCTGCTATAGTCGAAATCTGTTTCCTGGCTCTGAAACTTCTCAATCGCCTTCGCCTCTCCCAACATACCCTCGCGCGATCCATGGCCCGAATCAGACTGGCGAGTGTTGGGGTTGGCACTGTATGTTTCCGCGAAACTTGACGGGGCTTGCAAACCATGCTCTGCAGGCGTGACCGGCTCCTTTAAACCGAGATCCAGAATCGGAGACTCCAGTGCCGGGGACAGATCCATCAGAGAATCCACAAAGAACGCCACGTCGTCCAGTATGTCCTGCGCGTCGCTAGCAATACTTCTTCCGTCTTCCGATGAGCCATCGTCGCTGTGGTCGACTGCAAGTTCTGACGTGCTTGAAAGCTCTGATAGGAGCGTACGGAGCTTTTCAAGCTTCAGAGACGACTCCCGATTGCCAAGGGACAGCATCTTCGACTCGATCGAACCATGATAGACTGTCTTTCCCAACTCATATAGCAACGGATAAACCGCGATACGTAACTCCTTGGAGTTGTCGAGGATATCGTCTAGCTGCCCGGATGACACAGAAAATCCGTCAATCCATAGTGCAAAGCGCTCAGCCTCGTTGCCTATGCGCTTAGAATGGTTGGAGGATTGTACCTTCGTCCCAGAAGATATCCTGCGTCGGGCTTCGTTTAAGATTTCGTGGACTTTGAGACAGATTTGGCTAGCAAGACCTATGTCCACTGGTTGGCCGATTTCCACCAGTCTTTGCAGACCGTTATTGGCGTCCCCAGAAGATTCAGAAGGGGGCTCCATGGCGCGACGAATTGGTTCCCAAAAAAGACCTCGGCTTTTGGTACTTCTATTGTAAGTCTGGGTTTGGAAACTGCCTGGTGCCTCCGCATCCGGGTTGTCGTCAGTTGGGGGCAATTGCTTCGTTTGGTGAAAATTAAAGTGGCATTGAAAAGAACTGAGAAAGAATGAAAGTTTATCCTCCGTTGAGTGCAATCAGGCTGGAGGGTTTGGGGGCCTAAAATGCAAAAAATAGTCCAATGACATACAGACACGAGACAAAATATTACACTGCGGAAGAACATGGTATTGATGCACGTCCAGGGGTAGGTGACTTGAATTTGAAGCATACATTGGCCCGTCATCAATTGCCCAGTCTGCAGACATGCAACCCTCCGCAGAGGTGCATTCAGCCGTCAGCATGGCACCACCACTTCACCCGAGCTGTCGAGGACAGTTACCCCTCCCCGCCTTTGACTTTTCAAAATCAAAACACCGCCTCCGGGAGGAACGCTGCGATTCTCAGCAAGATTGTTTTAGCAGTCACATCCTAAACACACCAAAACCATGAGTGGGGTCGAACTCATCGTCGGCGTGGTCCTCGGAGGCGTGCCGATTATTCTAGAGGCATTTGACCGTTATGCGGCTATATATGAGTCGTTCAAGACCTTTCGCCGCCCCACTAGGGATTTGACAAGATTGACAACCACACTGAATGTCCAGAAGGCGATTTTTCGAAGTACCGTTTTTGGCCTCCTCAAAAAGGTCACCAACGACGAAGAAACGTCTCAACGGCTGCTCTCGGGGGAAACGGCGGTGATAGATTTGGACCATGCTCTCCAGCTTGAGCAGGACCAGATCAGTTGTCTCCGTGGTCTCTTCAATAGCTGGAAGGAATTGCTGGCTCTGATAAACCTGACGTTGAGTTCGATCTGCCTGGAAATGAAGATAATTTCTGATAGCCTCGCAGAAGGCGGCAAGGTTCGCTCAGATATCCCCCACCCCAAATATGACAGGTTTGATAGGATTTAACTAACTCTGAGAAAGACGTATGACCAGATCAAGGCTAGAATAAAACTTAGCTGGGGTAAACAAAGCTTCCAGAAAACCCTCAAGGAGCTCAAATATTCCATGGCCGACTTCCAAGTGTTGACCCGTAGCATCACTGAAAGCCTGACGGATATGATCGAAACCACGCATGAACTCTCTCTTCAGAAGGCATCTGATCAGTCTAAGGACATTGAGAAGTATCAACGGATCAGAGAAGCATCGGAAAGATTATACACCGTCTTAAGTCACAAGTGGACATGCGCAAGGCATCAGAAGCACACAGGAATCATTACCTTATCAGAAAATGAGGTCGATAAAGCAAACGGCTCAAGATTCGAGATCGCCATCAATTCAGCAGAAGAACCGTCGAAAGACTCCAAGATATGGCTTGAAATAGAGTCCGATCTTGCCTTGGCGGGAACCACGGAAATAAATCAGAAAGAGCGTTCATGGGACGATTTCGAGCTTTTGAGAAAGTTCGCGCAACCCATATCTCTAGAAACCACCCAGAAGAATGACGGAAACCTTCTCACGGCACATCGAAACTCTGACACATCCAAGAGAGCATCACCATCGAGAAGCGACTCAGGTGTCGACTTGAGGAATCCCAAGCAGACCGTTCCAAGTTCGATACAATACACACATACCACAGCCTCGATTGAACTGGATCTGATGGATGATTTGTGTCGCCACTTAGAAGAAAGTTGCTCTGTCAGCGATTCTGGCTGCTTGGGATTTATCAGAGACGTCGGAGTCCATCACTTTTGGCGACACGCCCCGCAGCCAGTCAGTGAGAACAGCCAGATGACGCTTGCGGAGTTAATATCCTGGATATCGGCCGACCAGTACTCGCGCACGATGTCTCGCGCAAACACGACGAGAATAGCTGGGTCTCTCGCGGGTGCCGTATTGCAGTACCACTCCACACCTTGGCTGCCGGAGGCATGGCAAAGCAGCCACGTCCTGTTCCTGGGCGTCGACACCCAAAAAGACGAGGTCACGGCCCCAAGTCCGTATTTCAGAGCTGAGATTCCAAAATTTCAAATCTCTGGCGGGGAAGATGATGGAAGTCACACGCCGGGGAACTCCAGTCCGACATCTTCGACGAGCCAGGCTCCGACTACCGTCGCGTCAAGTGATCCCGAGATAACTGGCATTGCCATTTCAGGATCAGTCAGAAACACGTTGCTCTTCTGCTTGGGTGTTGTTCTCCTGGAACTGGGTTACAACAAATCCTGGTCACTTTTGTCGGCGGATGTTGCGGAGTCTGCAAATTCGGCAGTGCGTCAATCCGACTACTTGTTAGCAGATATATTGGCTACCCGGCCATTACTTCGACGAAATATGGGACCAAAGTACGTCAACATTGTACGGAAATGTCTGGGATGCGACTTCGGTCTTGGCGAAAACGACTTCAAGAATGAAAATCTTCAGGGGAGATTTCTTGAGGAAGTAATACTTGGTCTGAAATCCATTGAACGCGTTGTCATGAAGGTGTGAGTTGTCCAGGCGCCTGGAAGGAGTATGCCTTTGCCCTTGGCAGGACAAAGAGAAAGCCGGGGTCGATTGGCTGAAGTAACCAGCTTGCTCTGCACAACTTCAATATCCCTGTTGTGCCATCTGAGCATGTATTGCGGGTACTCAAAGATCCACGATGAATGTAGGGACGACTCGAAGCATATATTCAAAGGAATCACGATAGCGAGTGCCAAACTGTGATATCCTACATAGGTATATTAACCTCCGAACTACACCTATGGCTCTCCCACACCTCTAATCTGCAACGCACTTTGCCCGCCAATACTACGTTTTCTGTTCCCGAACTCAGAAACCAGAAAGATGCATACAAAATCGTTCCTAGGTGTGGTTATCACTATCACGATCTTCCTCCACGGCGTGCCGGCTCCGCCGATAGTTGTCGGCGCCATCATCCCATTGGTCGTTACAGGCGGGAGTTACGGCATAGTAGCGGCCAGTATCGCAGACGAAGCCAAGCGCAAAGACACAAAAGACAGAGAGTTCGAGAAACCCGCCATTGTTAGGCCTGCCAGAATGGTGCGTAAAGTTGCTGCCAAGATGGAAAGGACTCCAGATGGGCCTGGCTTGGCTCCCCCTGGAGTACCTCAGTTCAATTGGGACAGCTGCTTTCACGAGGCACGCCAGTCACAGATCGTCGTCGAGGGTCCAGTTGGAAATCATGGTATTCGGGCTATTGGGCTGCCGCCTGTTTGCATGAATCTGGCAGTCGTGCTGGGAGGAGATGTCAATGGGACCGCTACACCAATCCCGTGCGGTTCGGACTGCATGGATTGGGTGAACATGACGCCTGGTAATCATGATGGAGTTCGCCACATGATCAACAGCAAGTTACTGGAGAAGAAGTGAAGGAGAAAAGACGGTAGTATGTGCTACCGGCTGATGCGTGAGCAGCTAGTGCGACATTTGTATGGCTCCGGTCGCCGAGGGAAAAACGGAAATGGCTATTCTAAAGACCGAAGAGTTTTCTTTTCTTTTCTAAATATTATAGGCAACGACCCTTGGGACGGTGTTTCTCGCGGATATCGTCTACAATCGCGTTACCAACTCGCTGAACTCATCTTTACACATCTCTACCGTTGCCCTAGTTCACTCTTTAACCATTGTCTCCAGCCCTCGTCAGCCAAGATGGATCTGACTCGTGCTTCTAGCCATTCTGTGTTCCCCCAGAAGCCCCAAGACGCCTGAAAACGGCACCAGTCGACAAGCGCGGTCTCCCAATGGCGCACGAACACACTCCAAGTGTACTCAGAAGGACCTTTGCCCGAAGGCTTCTCTTTGAGTAGAGTCTGTAAGTACTGCTCCAAAAGAGTATTTTCACCCTTATCCATTGACAGTTGGTCGGGGATATCCTCGTGATGAGTGAGCATCTCGAGAGGAACTGAGCATGTAAACAGCTTGGCAAGATCACAAGCTCCGACTCCCAACCCAGCGTACTGAAAGTCGAAAAAGGCAACCTTGTCGCCTGCATGATTTGTAAAGAGGTTCTCGGATTTGACATCGCCGTGGATGTAGGTCTCGAAAGATCTTCCTGATGGTGTGAGAAAGTCCGCCACTAACTCTGCAATAGACTTGTTGAAGCCGTCGACGGGATCGCAGAAGGCTGAAGACCATTCCGAGTAGTCATCGCGGCAGAGCGAACCGTATTCCTTCCGTCTTGTGGCGAGGTAGGTGTATCCTCCATTGAGCCACAGCTTGGGGTCACTTGGTGCCTTCCCAGCTTCTCTGCGCTTCTGCTCTTCCAGCGGGGGCAGAAGAAACTTGTCGAGGTCGTCTGGCAGGGACGACCATGAGCTTCCGTGGTATTTCGCGAGCCAGTCTAGGGATGCCTTCACCTGTAGGCGATTAAGGACTAGCCTTTTCTCTCCGGCAACGGGGAAGCCAGGACGAAGATCGGTGATGATGGTTGCCGTCATGGCTTGAAGCTCCTCCGCGCGAGGTTTCCCACTCAGATCTCGGGTAGATGCCAGACATTGGGCTACAGAAACGTCTTCCCCAAGGCGCGGGGCGATCTCCGAGTAGAAGTACTGCTCAACTTCGTAGCTGAGCATCTTTCGCAGGTGCCCCTCGTCTCCAGTCTTTCCGACAGGCGGTGAGATAAGCTTGAGGATGAGGTGGTATGAACCCTGGGGGTCTGGTCGCAGTTTCGGTGAGATGGCATTCGCATTAAACAAGCCGTTCATTTCGTGAGACGGGCGAGCTCTGATAGCGCAGATCTGACCGTAACCTGCCCACAGACTTTGGAGCTCGATGAGGGACACGAGCTCAAGGCCGAGCCACGCAAGCATGATATCGGCAACGCGCGCAGGCTCTTTGAGGGATGCCATGGTGAGGGAGACAGCTGCCGCGGCAAGAATGAACTGAGTCGAGTCGGATTCGATTTCTGGGGGTGAGGTTCCGGCAACTAGCTGGGTGAAATTAGAGGCGAGTTGAAAGCTACCGGCGTCGTCCATTTCGACGGGGTTATTATTATTCCGCAGCGCACTTCATTCACTCCCAGTGACAAGAGTGAGTGATGAGAGAATCATAGGCTTGGCAGCAATCTCTACTCAACTTAGGTACACTGGTGACTTCTTCAAAATTGGTTTTAGTTCACCAATTGCCGAGAACAAGAAAACTATAACCTAATATCATATTCAAGCCGCGGCTTACTTGATTCGCTCCCGGTTGTCTAGTTGCAACACGTTAAATGCAGCTCATAAGCTCCGAATGCCAGCTGGCGCCAGCTGGAATAGTCTCAAGGAAAAGTCAGAGCTCGGACTTAATCGTCTTACTTCTTACTCACCGTCATCATGAAATGAGGTAGTCACCTAGGAGAACAGTGATCTCAACGGAACTGAATCTTTGCGAGGAGAATTTCATTTCAAGAAACAGGAAGTGTCTATTTGTCCCAATTGCGACTCAGTCAGCAGACATTCTACGGCCATCAGGGTTCCAGCGACCCACACCTGCCTCTTCTGCTATTTAACGACAGGTCACCTCTCATCACGATCCACGAGCCTTCAGAGAGCACCTAAAGAGTCAAATTTCTGATTTGAAGAACCATTTATCGTCATGGGAAGACTCCAACCGTCGGTCGGACAGCCACCGGCGAGCTTTCGGAAAGCCGCCAGGGCCAAGAAAGCTAAAGTCACTCTCAACCAACTCATTCCGTCCCTACTACCTACGCATCCGCGGGCCCGACTCGGTATCGACGCTGCAGAGCTCATTATTGAGCCGAAGGCAATCAAAAAACAGCTAGTAGCTTCGAAAGCAGACTCACCATCTCAACCTGGCGAACCGCCCCGCGTTATTCTTCGGGTCGCCGATACCCTCACCGCAGCACGTGCTCTCGTACTGAGCCAAGAGAAAGACGGAGGGCGAGTCGCCATTCTCAACATGGCATCGCCGCTCACACCCGGTGGCGGGTTCATCAATGGAGCTGGCAGCCAGGAGGAGTCTCTCTGCATGCGGTGTACGCTTCTCCCTTCGCTCAAGGATGAGTGGTACCGACTGCCGGAACTTGGGGCGATTTATACCCCGGACATTTTGGTCTTCAGGGATGAGGGCGTCGAAGAGGTCCTGGAGAAGAAGGATCGTTGGTTTGTCGACTGCATCAGCGCTGCCATGCTCCGGAACCCGGAGACTGAACGAGATGAGTCGACAGGATTCAGTCACTATGTTAATGACGCGGACCGCCAACTTGTGCAAGAGAAGATGAAGATGCTTCTGCGCATATGCGAGGCTAAGAACATCGAAAAGGTTGTTCTAGGAGCTTGGGGCTGCGGTGCTTTCGGTAACCCGGTCGGAGAGGTGGCTACGGCATGGCGGAGGGTGCTGCTTCCCAGAAACGACAACAAGTCGAAGAAAAAAGGCGGCAAGGAGACTTGGAATGGCATCAAAGAGGTTGTCTTCGCGATAAAAGATGCTGGTATGGCTGACGCGTTTGAGTCTGCTTTTGGGAAAGGTCTCGAGCGCGAAGAACCCGAAGACTCTGGAGACGAGGATGAAAGTGAGGTTGATCCTGAGGAGACGAAACGGGCAGAACTCAAGGCCAGAATACGGGAACTCGAAGCTCGCATTGAGAAAGCTCCAAATGCACAGCTGAAAACTGGGCTTGCATCTATCCTTGCTGGCCTAGTGAGCCAGCTTCCACCGGACGAAGGCGAGGACACTGGCGAAGATAGTGATGATGCCATCTACAGCGATGCAGAACATGAGTAGCAACAATTTCTAAGCTCTCAGATAAACGCTAAATTGGCCGTCAGCATGCTCCGAGTTCAAGTGGGATTACTCACAAGCCCAGGGCATGAAGTGCTGTCCGTAGCACCCTGTTTGTTGAGTCCAAATGTTTCTCCAGCTCAACAAGACTGCTTTCTGAAAAGGATACGTCAGCTTACTTGCACCTTCTCTCTGACCTTTGAAGACAATACTACTCTGATGCCTAGGTGCACCGGGCCTCATAAATGGTTCTCCGGGGCTTCCACGGCTTTGATATCTTCTGTTAAGTCTTCGTACTATTACACAGGTCTCCAGGACATTTGTCTTCAAAGCTAGGAGGCTTTCTATTAATATTAATACACTCTTAATCGCCCCTAGACGTTCTTATATACTTTCCATATAATATCTCAAGCTATCGCAAGTTTTGATGCACGGACCAAATCATCTCTTCGCTGACGCTCTCGTCAATTGACTTGGCCGACTTTATTATCCGGCTTCTAGGCCACAAGCGTATCCCTGAAAATAATGTAACAGGGTAGCCATCTGCCATCTACTAGAGCTGTATCCAACACTGTTCCGACATAGGACTGACGAGGAAAAAGTTGACCATGTCCATGCTGGCAGGCGTTGTCTGCGGCGCGAGGCGAGCGCCCTTACATTCCCGGAAGAAAAGGGCCGCCGCGTGTCGCAGCTCAATACGCGCGAGGTGAACCCCAAGACATGTCCGCGAACCTGCCCCGAACGGGGCAAAGACGCCCTGGCTTGGAGCTTGGTATTCACCAGAAGGACTGATGAATCTTTCCGGGTGAAACCTGTCACGGTACATGTTAGTTCAACATCTCTCATTGCTACATCGGGCCACTGACCTCTCCGGCTGAGGATACACCATGGGATCCCTGTGGTATGAGTAGGCCTGCGTGCTCGCAGTAGTGCCTTGGGGAAGAAAATATCCGGCTAGCGTGGCACCGCCCGGCGGCACCTGTCGTGGCAAAGCACCGGGGGCCGCGCCATAGATACGCAGTGTCTCATCAATCACCGCAGATAAATACGGAAGCTTGTCCAGCTCCGCATCCGTGTACGATTCCTGCAATGCGCCGACCTCGGCTTCCAGCTTCTGCTGAATAGTCGGGTTGGAAAGGACAGCCCACACCAGGTACGTCAAAGAGACCGCCGTGGTCCCGGACCCAGCGACGACAAATCCTCCAGCCTCGAATGCAACTTGGTAGTCGGTAAAGGATTGACTGTCCTTTTCATTCGCGGCTATCACTTTGGAGAAAAGGTTCTGGGCGCCAATGCCGCTCTGCCGAGTCCTGCGAATGATGGCTTCAGCGAGCTTCTGCACGATCTCATCGGCGTTGAATTCAAGGACCGACCGAATGGGAATCCATTCGGCAAGGTTTCGCACCCATGGGAGCTCGGAGCATAAGAGCCCAAACTTGGACGCGTCTTCTATCTTTTGCAAGTGGTATGTTTTCTGGAGAAAGAGAAAAAGAGAGAAAGATCAACCCCTTGTCTCATTCTACAGAGGATGGTTTGGATTCGTAGTGACATACCTTGCCCTCATTGAGCAGGCCAAACGGTTCTCCGAAGGCCAGATGGGAGATGACATCCGCTGTCATAAAAGTCCACCACTTAAAGACATCCACTTGCCCATCCCGAAGAGCCTCTTCCTTGATCTTGCGAATTGTCAGATCTACTTTGTCAATGACGGTGGGTGCCCAATTGCTCATCAGTGCCGAGTTGCTGAAGAGCGGCGCGAACAGCTTTCTGCGCTGAGCGTGCTGCTTCGGATCGGTCATGGAGAAGACGTCCTGCGAATCGCCAACCCGGAACGACCGATACCAGGGATCCTTATCGAACCCGCCGCCGATGCGATGGATGGCCTTGAATGCCGCTTGATCGGCAAAGTCAACCTCGTTGGGGCCGACGCGGACGACAGGTCCGTACTTTTCGTGCAGCCCATGGACGTAGTGCATCCTTTTACCAGAAAGGATTTGTTTCTTGAGGACGAGGTTCGTGAACTTGGCATACCAGGGCCCCGGCACGGCACGCAATGGCGTCATGAACCCACGGTGGAATGCCTTTAGGCGAAGTCAGAGAGGTAAGCAGTGGTCAAGGATGAATAGGAAGCTTTACCTTGACAAGTGCCACCACGACAACGATGCCCGCCGCTACCAACAGCGGCTGAATGGTGAAGGACGAAATGCTCATGGTGTGAAGGGGATAGACGTCAGCGTTAACGCCAGCTTTGTTGAAAGGGACAAGCTCTACATATTGGTTGAGAGCACGCTTTAACTGCTTGTTGGCGACCTCGCGGGGTCATCATGAGATCCGATGCCCGAAGCCAACAATGACTCTAGGTCACTTGAATACATTTGCGGGATCACACCCGCTGTCTATTCTGATAGGTTAGGAAGAGATTGACCAACGAATCCTTACCAGATCTACCTATCATATCTATTCTATGGATACACAGCATTGTAGGATGAGAATTGGGGCTCGGATTTTGGAAGAAACAAGTGTCTAAGTAACGGTACAATAATAGGGTTTTCGGGGATGGGGGTGGGGGTGGGGGTGGGGGGACGGATAGTGGCCCACATCCCGTGACGTGCCCTCCACCGACCTTTAGTCAGGTCATGTTTTGTACCAAATGACGATTCGGACATTTGTCGAGCAACGTCGACACTCGAGAGATACATTGATGTGTGTGTAACTAGCTAAAAGGTGCCAAGTCGACCCAAGAGCTAAAGAAAAGGAAGGTATTCGTGTCGAATGTAAATGAGCCATATTTGGGCGTGTATGCATGGGTGGACTCATTGATTCAGTGCACACACTGACTGGTGAAGCAGTTCTGGGTCTGGAAATATTCGATCTTAACAGTGCTTGTTGTCGAAATGAATCATAGGTGATTCGGAGAATACTTCCGGCGAAAATTCGAGATTTCTTGACCTCCCCTGGTTGTCTCTTAGAAGGATTAACAAGGGCAGTTTGACGAGGGACAAAATAAGATACATCACGCCCACGAGAATCATGTACTTTGCATATCCTCGGCATTCTTGTCTCACTGTATTGAACCTATGGATAGTTGTAGAGTCTGAGATCTGCATCTGCACGAGTCTCGCTATCCCTAATCTGCTCCATCAAGTCCACCCGTCCCAGCTTCTGGACGTTGATGAGGTGGCAGGTGATGCAATTCATTTTGTTCCCATCGTCCAGGTCGTACAACGCAAAGCACTCGACCTTGACCACATCGTCGGGCAGCAGGTCAAACTCCCCAATCCCAGCCGCGGTAGCCGTCTTGTATTTGAAGTAGGTTTCCATGAACAAGAAGATCCTGCCGCGGTCGCACATGACGACCAGGGGAACCACGGTTTCGTCGGCGGCGGCGTGCAGGGGCCGATAATGCTCCATGATGGCCGACTTGCCGACGAGGGCGGGAACTCGATTGTCGGGGACTTTGAGCTCGATGTGTTCCGAGTAGAAAGCATGTTGTTTGGCGTAGTCTTTGGCGTTGAACGCTCGGATGTAGTTGAGAAAGTCTGGGACACTTAGATGGGGCATTCTGACTTGTCTGGTTCGGGTAGTTGTGGCGAGCAATACATGTAATCGACTGTAGCCAAAACCTTTCCCGTAGCGACGGGGCCCTTTACTTATTATCGAGCTGTGCGCACCAGGTCTTCCGTACGTCGGGATGTGGACCGCTTACCGGCCGGTAATGGGCAAAAGTGGCACATGAGATAGGGACTGGCGTGGTTTCTGAGTTTGAACTTGGGTTGCCGGATCCACGACTCGAGCGAGAGCCCGAAACTAGTGTGGTGGAGTTCTCTTCGTGTGGATCGTACAGCTAACATTGAACCCAGGTTCCCCGCACCCCACCTCCACACCGGCTTCAGAACGCGGAGGGGCTCTTATGGCAAGGACTCGCTCTATTGCTCGCTGTTCTTCCTAGTCTGAGTCAACGTCTCTCCTTCCAGGGCCACGTCCATGGTCGACAAACATGATGTAGAGTGCAGAGTGACTATCGTCTCTAATCAGCACTTTGGCAATTCGGATCGTACTTGCAGGCGAGGCTACTGATGCTGAAGTGAGAGATACCAGATTTAGACTTTGACTCATATCTGAAAGACCGGAGTATTTCTCATTTAGCTTATGTATGTAGATTTGGTCGTCAAATCTTCATCTTACTTTCCCAGTCATGCTTGTTTGAAAGACCACTCGTGCCACTGCCATCGCCAGCGTCCAAATAGCCGGCAACCACCCCATCCGGGTCCCATTTGCGGCGAACCTCCATGAGCCTGCCCGCGTTGGGATCGGCCCAAAACTTGGTTAGCCTCTCCTGGGAGTCCGCGTCGCCAAGGTACGATCCAACAGCGTGCGGGGCCATACTGCGCAAGACTTCCCGGGCCTATGCCGCGCACTTCCTGTCCTCTGAAGATCTTTCACAGATGGCGTAGATGCCAAAGTAGTGGTTGGACTGCATTGAGAGGGCCATGTCCTCTATCGTCCTCTCTGCGCTGCTCCTTCGCGACGTTGGGGCTATTGAGTACTAAAGAGTAAAGGACTTAGGCGTGGGCAGCTCCAGAAAAGCCTTCTCTATAACGGCGACTATGTCTAAGTTATTGTCAATATAGCAATTGTCGACGCGGTACCGGTGACCTTCGGGGTTGGCCGCGTGCTGAATATCGTTCTGGTCACTGAGAGAAGTCTCAGTGCAGATGTTAACACCCATTGAGATGTTGTGTCGAATGGCTCCTGGATAGAGGACAGGCCCTTGTTGCACGAGTGCAACGTATTCGCGGAAAAGCCACGGGTTCATGCTGTCGATATAGACACCATTAACATTCATGTTCATGTGTCCAGTGACAGGATCGTAGAATCGCTCGAGGGTGGAAATCATGGTACTTTTCCCACAGCCAGATGCTCCCACAAACGCGGCGAACTGCCCTTTCTTGATATGGAATATCACCGTCAGTTTCCTGCTGCAATTCTACCAGAGACCTTTTGCCCAGATTCACCGACAAGCTGACACCTCGCAACACCAGAGATTGTAGTCTCATAGAGTATGAGAATAGGATTTGATCAAGGTCAAAAGTCGAATACCCCGCTGGACCAACGTGCGGGTTCTCTCGAGTTTCGCGGATGGATGGCTGAAGTTCGGAAATCTAAATGAGGTAGTTTGCTGCGTTTACTGCCTTTGTCATGCGACGAGTGTACGGATTCAGGTAGACAAGCTCTGGCGGCCCATGCCAAAAGCATGTCTTTGATAGAAACTTGGGACATGCACCTCTTCGACATGTGTATTAATTGGTTGGACGCCAGATATCATCTCCTTTTCCATATGCTAATGTAAAGTGCAGGACCTTTTTATCTTCGACCTTTGTACCATTTTTCGTCGTTATTTGCAACGCAATCTGGACTGTGAACGCAGCAGAACTTAATGTTATCGAATCGCTCATCAGTTAGTTGGAAAAAGACCAGAAGCAAAGCAAGAGCGCGTCTCGACCGTTGCGAACTTTCAAGCCGCTATACTGCGCTGCCTCCAAGTACATCGAGCTGAAGTCCCAGATTTCTTCAGGTCCCATAGCAAGTGCTGTCAGTTTTAGAATTGTTTATCAAGAGACCGCATCGGCAGCTGAGGTGCCTCTTCAATAGTCAAGCCTATCGGCTTTGACGTCTCATAATCACCTTGTATCACCCACGGATTATTATCAGACCCTATACCGCTTAACTAGTATAAGTACTAACTTAATAAATCTACTTATAGATTCCTACCTAAATATAATTTATTTATATTAAGTATATATACCCTCCTTTTTTTTAGTACTTAAGCTAATTTAGCCCCTTTTAGCTAATTATATATTAATTAATATTTAATATATTATATTACTAGCTATAACTATTACTTAATAGTTATAAGCTTAAGTAATTTCTAATAATAAACTCTTATTATATATATTATTTAATATATTATTTAAGCTATTAATTAATAGATTTAATATAGTAGAGCTTATTATAGCTTTAATATCTAATTTAGCTAAATAATATAGCTAGTAATTATAAATAATATAAAATAATAAAGATCATAGAGATTATTTAGGTATTTCTTAATATATTTAGTATAATTAATATTAAATAGATAATTAATAATTTTATATATTAAGGTAGATAAAAGTTCTATATTAAGATCAAAATAAATCCCTTATATATTATAAGATTATTAAGATCTTAATATAAATATAAAATATTATTAAAATAGATACCTTAAAGTATTCCTTTAATTAAAATAAGAAAATAATTTATTAATTTTATATTTAAATAATTAATATAGGTTTTAATATTAATATAAGTAATACGCTAATTCTCTAGAGCTTTATTAATTATAATAGATAATATATTTAAATTATAATAATTATTGAACTATATAAAGTTAAGAGACATATTAATCTAAATATAACTAATAGTAATAAAAAGCTTATTATTAAGTATTTTAATATAAATAATAAGAACTTTAGTAATAAGATATCTCTTATAAAAATAAAATATTAAGATACTTTATAAAAATAAAAAGAGAATAAAGTTAATATATAAGCTATAGCTAAAGATATTATAAAGTCTATTTTATTATTATATTATTAAAAGATCCTTAAGTATAGTAATATTTATATTATACTAAAAGAAATTAAAAATAATATTAAACTAAATAACTTTATATAATAAAGATATATCTATTAATAATATTAAATTTATCTTTATTTTATTAAGAGGTCTTAATTAAATTAATAGCTATTAACTTATAAAGAGATTATAATAGATATAATATCTATTAAAGTATTAATACTTATAGATCTATTTACTTAAGTATTAAACTTCCTATATATTATTAAAAGTATTTTATTTAAATACTTTAATAGTATTTTAGTATTATTTTTAGAGGCTAACTAAAAGACTAAATTAAATATATTAACTACTAAAAGAAAGTCTATAGGTATAAAGGAGGCTAATAAGTTTTAATAATAAATTTATATATTTTATTTAGACTAACTAATAGTATTAAAGCCTCTCTCTATTATATCTAAAGGTATTAATTATACTATATAGTAAGGGGGTAATAAAAATATAATAACTACATTAATACTCTATAATAATAAGAGAGTATAAAGGGATAATAATAGAACTCTAAAGTATTTAGTCTATAATAATAAGTTTTACTTTATTATAAACTATATCTATATAAACTTATTAATCTAGCTTAAAGTTCATAATCTAAATAATATTAATAATAAGAGATAAATTAATACTAAATATAAATAGTTATTAATATTATTTTATAGCTACTTTAAGAGGAAACTTAATAATATAAATATTAATATAAATAATATATAAAAGGATAGAAAGTTTAATATAGACTTATATAATTAGAGAGACTATAATAGAAATAGAGAGCCCTCTTATTTATACTCTTAATTAAAAGATTAAAAGGATAAGTAGATATCCTTTTATACTACTTTATATATTAATATAGAGTTAATTTTCTTTTTTTATATTACTACTTTAAGTTTTATTAATAATAATACCCTCTATAATAGTATAATTATAAACTATAATATAGACTTTTATATATATAATAATATAAACTATATCAAAGATTTAAACTATATTTATATTAAAGTTATTCTTATTAATAATAGAGAAATTATAGCTATTACTATTAAATTAATAAAGGTATAGCTAAACTAAAGAGGTAAAGAGATATATTATTTATATATTTATAAAGTCTAATATTATTTATTTTATTTTATAACGTTATTATTATTTAGCTAACTTAAGAAGAAGGGTTTATTATTCTTCTAGAGAGTCTCTAAGCTTCTAAATAAATAAAATAAAGTAGTATATATAATACTTTTACTTTATAGCTAATATATTCTTAAATACTATAAATTTAATATAGATATAGACTATAATAATACTAAATCTCTATTATAAATAGTCTACTTTAATATATTAAAAGATAAAACTAATTAGTTATATATAGAATTTAAGTCTTTATTATTATTATATATAAATAAAATAAAAGCTTAGCTTTAATATAAAAGGCTTAATTATCTAAATATATAAGGTTTTAAATAACTTATAAAGATAATAATAAGTATTAAACTTAAAGAAATTATAAAAAATAAATATAAAGTATATACTATTAGTAAGGTAATTTAATAAATATTAAAGAGAACTCCTAATTATTAGCTAATAGCACTAAGTAGTTATATAATTATTAACTTCTTTATAATAAGTAATTTATATAATAGAAAGAAGATTCTATTACTTTTATATAATTAATAGTTTAAATTTATATAGAGATAACCTCTTTATATATATAAGGAGAGCCTTAAAGTAATTTAGAATATTATAACCTTCTCTAAATAATAATATAATATACCTATATTTATTTTATACCGTAATTAGGACTTTATATTATATAATATATTCAAGATATAAATAATAATAAAAAATAAACTTATTAAGTATTTAGCTAATTATATAGGTATTTAGAACCCTACTAAAAGATATAGGGGATATATCTTTATAATTATAAGAGCTTTAAGATATTAGTTGAAATTCTCTAAATCTCTAGCTTTAGAGCTTATAAGAGTAATAATTTATATAGCTAACTAGCTTAACTATTAGTATTATAACTAAAAGACTTTAAAAGGCTTAATTAATAAGTAGTTAAGTAAATAATTAGATATAACTTATTATTATACTAAAAAGCTATAAGTTATTTATTTTAAGAGATATAAATACTAAGTATATCTATTAATAATAATATATAAAAGAGATAAATAATATATACATAAGATACTTCTATATATATATATTAGATACCTCTATAGATATAATAATATAAATATATATTATATTTAGATACTATTATTAAATAAAGTCCTTTATACTTAAGATATTATATTTAATAAAAATATTATATATAATCTTAATACTAAAGATATAAGTACTTTATATTAAAAAGAACTTTAGATTTAATTTAAATAGCTTAAAATACTATATTTAAACCTAGTTAACAAGGAATTACTATTTAATTTATCTATTTAAAATAGTAATAAGCTACTTTATATAAAATTAATTTAGCTAGTTTAATAATAATAACTTAAGAAATAGTAAGACTTTAATATTAATTTAGAATAATAGTTATTAAGTTTTAGCCTATTTTATAAAGTATTAATTAATATTATTATTTTAACTAAAGGGGTAATAAGAAATATAAATATAGTATTACTATTACTATTAGCTTAATCTACTTCTTCTTAAGTAATTAATAAGAGGCTAGAATGCTTATAGTAATCTAGTACTCTATTTCTAGCTAATAAGAATAGCCCTCTATATTTAAGTTAATAAGTTCCTCTATAGGTAGATATTTTATTAGTTAAAGTAAGATTTTAGCTAATACCTATTATTATATCTATTATACTAGCTAGCCCTATAAATCCTATTAAATACTTTAGGGATAGAGATAATAATAATAATAATAATAATAGAGTTAAAAATACCCCTATAAAAGAGCTATTTTAGCTTATTAATTTACTCTATTAAGTAATAGCTATCTTATTATTTACTATATAAGATTTAGCTATCTTATTATTACTATAAGAGTTATTATTAACTCTATCTTACTATTTAGTATTAATAAGGCTAACTCTACCTAAATGTTACGACCTATTAGGTATAACCAATAAAGGACGCCCCACTAGGATACTAAGCGGTTATAATAACATATTTATATATAGGATTATAGGAATACGTAAGGATCCCTTAGGAATAGAAGAACTATAGTATAGGTTACGTAACGATAAGATAAGAGATTAGATCTATATAATTAAGATACGG